CATGGGAAGCTCCACCGAAGGCCCCAGTGGCAGTGTCCACATGCGCCCCCCCCTGCCCATGTCGGTAAACCCTTCAGACGCTTCGCGGCACCAAGCCCCATTTCCGTAGCCATTTTGGCTCAAGCCGTTTCTGGACAGTTTTGCACGCCAGCCCCGCCACGCCCGCAGCGGACCCCCCGTCTCGCCAATGGACGCCTTCGCGGTCGCGGGGCGCGCCCTGCGCCACGCCGTTGCGCCTCCCGCCGCGGCGTCCTACTCGCCCGCAGCGGCGGCGTCGCGGGCCCCCGTCGAAAGCCCCGCGCTGCCCAGCAACAATTCAGTCGCCGTCGCGGTGGCCGCAGCTGGCACCGCCGTCCTGGCGGCGGGGCGCCGCAGGCGCAAGACGCAGAAGGAGAGGCGCCTCGCGCGCAAGACGGCGCCCGTCGCTCTCGCGGTGTCCGCCCGCCAGGTCGCGCCGCCTGCGGCGGCGGCCTTCTGCGGCAGCCGCGCGGCGGCCGCCAAAGAGGTGTGCACCAGCCTGCGGGCCAAGAAGTCCGTGGAGGACCTCGGCGAGGCGGACCTCAAGGGGAAGACGGTGCTGATCCGGTGCGACCTCAACGTGCCCCTGAACGCGGACCTGGAGATCACGGACGACACGCGCATCACGGCCTCGATCCCGACGATCGAGTACCTCTGCAGCAAGGGCGCCAAGGTGCTGGCGTGCTCCCACCTGGGCCGCCCCAAGGACGGGCCCGAGGAGAAGTTCTCGCTGAAGCCAGTGGCGAAGAAGATGGGGGAGCTGATGAAGAAGGACATCAAGTGCGCCCCGGACTGCAAGGCCACGGACGAGGTGAAGGGGATGGTGTCGGCATGAGCGAGGGAGACGTTCTGATCTTGGAGAACACTCGGTTCTACAAGGGGGAGACCAAGAACGATCCTGAGCTGGCGGAGAGCATGGCCAGCCTGGCGGACCTGTTCGTGAACGACGCGTTCGGTACCGCGCACCGCGCGCACTCCTCCACCGAGGGCGTGACCAAGTTCCTGAAGCCGAGCGTCTCGGGCTTCCTGCTGAAGAAGGAGCTGGACTACTTGAAGGGCGCCGTGGACAGCCCGGTGAAGCCGATGGCGGCCATCGTGGGAGGCGCCAAGGTGAGCACGAAGATCCCGGTGATCGAGTCCATGCTGGAGAAGGTGGACAAGGTGATCATCGGCGGAGGCATGGTGTTCACCTTCCTGAAGGCACGCGGCCTCTCGGTCGGGAACTCCCTGGTGGAGGACGACCTCATCCCAGTTGTGAAAAAGCTGGAGGAGCAGGCCAAGGCCAAGGGCGTCGAGATCATCCTCCCGAGCGACATAGCTTGCGGCGATGAGTTCCCCGCGGGGGGCAAAGAGGTGAACTACAAGGTAGTGCCCGCGGATGATATCCCCGACGGCTGGCTCGGCCTGGACAACGGCCCGAAGGCGACCGAGGAGATCAAGGCTGCTCTGGCGGATTGCAAGACGATCATCTGGAACGGCCCGATGGGCGTGTTCGAGAGCCCGCAGTTCAGCAAGGGCACTTACGACGTGGCCGAGTGCATCGCCGAGCTGACGGAGAAGAACGGCGCCATCAGCATCATTGGTGGCGGTGACTCCGTGTCCGCAGTGAACAAGTCTGGCCTGGCACCGAAGATGTCGCACATCTCCACTGGGGGCGGCGCCAGCCTGGAGCTGCTGGAGGGCAAGGTGCTGCCAGGGGTGGCTGCGCTGGACGAGAAGGAGATGGCCGCCGCGGCGTTCTGCGGACAGCGCAAGGTCCCCAAGGCTTCCAGGACCAGCCTGCGGGCCAAGAAGTCCGTGGAGGACCTGGGCGAAGCGGACCTCAAGGGGAAGACGGTGCTGATCCGGTGCGACCTCAACGTGCCCCTGAACGCGGACCTGGAGATCACGGACGACACGCGCATCACGGCCTCGATCCCGACGATCGAGTACCTGTGCAGCAAGGGCGCCAAGGTGCTGGCGTGCTCCCACCTGGGCCGCCCCAAGGACGGGCCCGAGGAGAAGTTCTCGCTGAAGCCAGTGGCGAAGAAGATGGGGGAGCTGATGAAGAAGGACATCAAGTGCGCCCCGGACTGCAAGGCTACGGACGAGGTGAAGGGGATGGTGTCGGCCATGAGCGAGGGAGACGTGCTGATCTTGGAGAACACTCGGTTCTACAAGGGGGAGACCAAGAACGATCCTGAGCTGGCGGAGAGCATGGCCAGCCTGGCGGACCTGTTCGTGAACGACGCGTTCGGCACCGCGCACCGCGCGCACTCCTCCACCGAGGGCGTGACCAAGTTCCTGAAGCCGAGCGTCTCGGGATTCCTGCTGAAGAAGGAGCTGGACTACTTGAAGGGCGCCGTGGACAGCCCGGTGAAGCCGATGGCGGCCATCGTGGGAGGCGCCAAGGTGAGCACGAAGATCCCGGTGATCGAGTCCATGCTGGAGAAGGTGGACAAGGTGATCATCGGCGGAGGCATGGTGTTCACCTTCCTGAAGGCACGCGGCCTCTCGGTCGGGAACTCCCTGGTGGAGGACGACCTCATCCCAGTTGTGAAAAGCTGGAGGAGCAGGCCAAGGCCAAGGGCGTCGAGATCATCCTCCCGAGCGACATAGCTTGCGGCGATGAGTTCCCCGCGGGGGGCAAAGAGGTGAACTACAAGGTAGTGCCCGCGGATGATATCCCCGACGGCTGGCTCGGCCTGGACAACGGCCCGAAGGCGACCGAGGAGATCAAGGCTGCTCTGGCGGATTGCAAGACGATCATCTGGAACGGCCCGATGGGCGTGTTCGAGAGCCCGCAGTTCAGCAAGGGCACTTACGACGTGGCCGAGTGCATCGCCGAGCTGACGGAGAAGAACGGCGCCATCAGCATCATTGGTGGCGGTGACTCCGTGTCCGCAGTGAACAAGTCTGGCCTGGCACCGAAGATGTCGCACATCTCCACCGGGGGCGGCGCCAGCCTGGAGCTGCTGGAGGGCAAGGTGCTGCCAGGGGTGGCTGCGCTGGACGAGAAGGAGATGGCCGCCGCGGCGTTCTGCGGACAGCGCAAGGTCTCCAAGGCTTCCAGGACCAGCCTGCGGGCCAAGAAGTCCGTGGAGGACCTGGGCGAGGCGGACCTCAAGGGGAAGACGGTGCTGATCCGGTGCGACCTCAACGTGCCCCTGAACGCGGACCTGGAGATCACGGACGACACGCGCATCACGGCCTCGATCCCGACGATCGAGTACCTCTGCAGCAAGGGCGCCAAGGTGTTGGCGTGCTCCCACCTGGGCCGCCCCAAGGACGGGCCCGAGGAGAAGTTCTCGCTGAAGCCAGTTGCGAAGAAGATGGGGGAGCTGATGAAGAAGGACATCAAGTGCGCCCCGGACTGCAAGGCTACGGACGAGGTGAAGGGGATGGTGTCGGCCATGAGCGAGGGAGACGTTCTGATCTTGGAGAACACTCGGTTCTACAAGGGGGAGACCAAGAACGATCCTGAGCTGGCGGAGAGCATGGCCAGCCTGGCGGACCTGTTCGTGAACGACGCGTTCGGCACCGCGCACCGCGCGCACTCCTCCACCGAGGGCGTGACCAAGTTCCTGAAGCCGAGCGTCTCGGGCTTCCTGCTGAAGAAGGAGCTGGACTACTTGAAGGGCGCCGTGGACAGCCCGGTGAAGCCAATGGCGGCCATCGTGGGAGGCGCCAAGGTGAGCACGAAGATCCCGGTGATCGAGTCCATGCTGGAGAAGGTGGACAAGGTGATCATCGGCGGAGGCATGGTGTTCACCTTCCTGAAGGCACGCGGCCTCTCGGTCGGGAACTCCCTGGTGGAGGACGACCTCATCCCAGTTGTGAAGAAGCTGGAGGAGCAGGCCAAGGCCAAGGGCGTCGAGATCATCCTCCCGAGCGACATAGCTTGCGGCGATGAGTTCCCCGCGGGGGGCAAAGAGGTGAACTACAAGGTGGTGCCCGCGGATGATATCCCCGACGGCTGGCTCGGCCTGGACAACGGCCCGAAGGCGACCGAGGAGATCAAGGCTGCTCTGGCGGATTGCAAGACGATCATCTGGAACGGCCCGATGGGCGTGTTCGAGAGCCCGCAGTTCAGCAAGGGCACTTACGACGTGGCCGAGTGCATCGCCGAGCTGACGGAGAAGAACGGCGCCATCAGCATCATTGGTGGCGGTGACTCCGTGTCCGCAGTGAACAAGTCTGGCCTGGCACCGAAGATGTCGCACATCTCCACCGGGGGCGGCGCCAGCCTGGAGCTGCTGGAGGGCAAGGTGCTGCCAGGGGTGGCTGCGCTGGACGAGAAGGAGATGGCCGCCGCGGCGTTCTGCGGACAGCGCAAGGTCCCCAAGGCTTCCAGGACCAGCCTGCGGGCCAAGAAGTCCGTGGAGGACCTGGGCGAGGCTGACCTCAAGGGGAAGACGGTGCTGATCCGGTGCGACCTCAACGTGCCCCTGAACGCGGACCTGGAGATCACGGACGACACGCGTATCACGGCCTCGATCCCGACGATCGAGTACCTCTGCAGCAAGGGCGCCAAGGTGTTGGCGTGCTCCCACCTGGGCCGCCCCAAGGACGGGCCCGAGGAGAAGTTCTCGCTGAAGCCAGTGGCGAAGAAGATGGGGGAGCTGATGAAGAAGGACATCAAGTGCGCCCCGGACTGCAAGGCTACGGACGAGGTGAAGGCGATGGTGTCGGGCATGAGCGAGGGAGACGTGCTGATCCTGGAGAACACTCGGTTCTACAAGGGAGAGACCAAGAACGATCCTGAGCTGGCGGAGAGCATGGCCAGTCTGGCGGACCTGTTTGTGAACGACGCGTTCGGCACCGCGCACCGCGCGCACTCCTCCACCGAGGGCGTGACCAAGTTCCTGAAGCCGAGCGTCTCGGGATTCCTGCTGAAGAAGGAGCTGGACTACTTGAAGGGCGCCGTGGACAGCCCGGTGAAGCCAATGGCGGCCATCGTGGGAGGCGCCAAGGTGAGCACGAAGATCCCGGTGATCGAGTCCATGCTGGAGAAGGTGGACAAGGTGATCATCGGCGGAGGCATGGTGTTCACCTTCCTGAAGGCACGCGGCCTCTCGGTCGGGAACTCCCTGGTGGAGGACGACCTCATCCCAGTTGTGAAGAAGCTTGGAGGAGCAGGCCAAGGCCAAGGGCGTCGAGATCATCCTCCCGAGCGACATAGCTGCGGCGACGAGTTCCCCGCGGGGGGCAAAGAGGTGAACTACAAGGTGGTGCCCGCGGATGATATCCCGGACGGCTGGCTCGGCCTGGACAACGGCCCGAAGGCGACCGAGGAGATCAAGGCTGCTCTGGCGGATTGCAAGACGATCATCTGGAACGGCCCGATGGGCGTGTTCGAGAGCCCGCAGTTCAGCAAGGGCACCTACGACGTGGCGGAGTGCATCGCCGAGCTGACGGAGAAGAACGGCGCCATCAGCATCATTGGTGGCGGTGACTCCGTGTCCGCGGTGAACAAGTCCGGCCTGGCGCCGAAGATGTCGCACATCTCCACCGGGGGCGGTGCCAGCCTGGAGCTGCTGGAAGGCAAGGTGCTGCCAGGTGTGGCTGCGCTGGACGAGAAGGAGATGGCCGCCGCGGCGTTCTGCGGACAGCGCAAGGTCCCCAAGGCTTCCAGGACCAGCCTGCGGGCCAAGAAGTCCGTGGAGGACCTGGGCGAGGCGGACCTCAAGGGGAAGACGGTGCTGATCCGGTGCGACCTCAACGTGCCCCTGAAACGCGGCCTGGAGATCCACGGACGACACGCGCCATCACGGCCTCGATCCCGACGATCGGAGTACTCTGCAGCAAGGGCGCCAAAGGTGTGGCGTGCTCCCACCTGGGGCCGCCCCAAGGACGGGCCCGAGGAGAAGTTCTCGCTGAAGCCAGTGGCGAAGAAGATGGGGGAGCTGATGAAGAAGGACATCAAGTGCGCCCCGGACTGCAAGGCCACGGACGAGGTGAAGGCGATGGTGTCGGCCATGAGCGAGGGAGACGTTCTGATCCTGGAGAACACTCGGTTCTACAAGGGAGAGACCAAGAACGATCCTGAGCTGGCGGAGAGCATGGCCAGCCTGGCGGACCTGTTTGTGAACGACGCGTTCGGCACCGCGCACCGCGCGCACTCCTCCACCGAGGGCGTGACCAAGTTCCTGAAGCCGAGCGTCTCGGGCTTCCTGCTGAAGAAGGAGCTGGACTACTTGAAGGGCGCCGTAGACAGCCCGGTGAAGCCGATGGCGGCCATCGTGGGCGGCGCCAAGGTGAGCACGAAGATCCCGGTGATCGAGTCCATGCTGGAGAAGGTGGACAAGGTGATCATTGGCGGAGGCATGGTGTTCACCTTCCTGAAGGCACGTGGTCTCTCGGTCGGGAACTCCCTGGTGGAGGACGACCTCATCCCAGTTGTGAAGAAGCTTGAGGAGCAGGCCAAGGCCAAGGGCGTCGAGATCATCCTCCCGAGCGACATAGCCTGCGGCGACGAGTTCCCCGCGGGGGGCAAAGAGGTGAACTACAAGGTGGTGCCCGCGGATGCGATCCCGGACGGCTGGCTCGGCCTGGACAACGGCCCGAAGGCGACCAAGGAGATCAAGGCTGCTCTGGCGGATTGCAAGACGATTATCTGGAACGGCCCGATGGGTGTGTTCGAGAGCCCGCAGTTCAGCAAGGGCACCTACGACGTGGCGGAGTGCATCGCCGAGCTGACGGAGAAGAACGGCGCCATCAGCATCATTGGTGGCGGTGACTCCGTGTCCGCGGTGAACAAGTCCGGCCTGGCGCCGAAGATGTCGCACATCTCCACCGGGGGCGGTGCCAGCCTGGAGCTGCTGGAAGGCAAGGTGCTGCCAGGTGTGGCTGCGCTGGACGAGAAGGAGATGGCCGCCGCGGCGTTCTGCGGACAGCGCAAGGTCCCCAAGGCTTCCAGGACCAGCCTGCGGGCCAAGAAGTCCGTGGAGGACCTGGGCGAGGCGGACCTCAAGGGGAAGACGGTGCTGATCCGGTGCGACCTCAACGTGCCCCTGAACGCGGACCTGGAGATCACGGACGACACGCGCATCACAGCCTCGATCCCGACGATCGAGTACCTCTGCAGCAAGGGCGCCAAAGTGCTGGCGTGCTCCCACCTGGGGCGCCCCAAGGACGGGCCCGAGGAGAAGTTCTCGCTGAAGCCAGTGGCGAAGAAGATGGGGGAGCTGATGAAGAAGGACATCAAGTGCGCCCCGGACTGCAAGGCCACGGACGAGGTGAAGGGGATGGTGTCGGCCATGAGCGAGGGAGACGTTCTGATCCTGGAGAACACTCGGTTCTACAAGGGAGAGACCAAGAACGATCCTGAGTTGGCGGAGAGCATGGCCAGCCTGGCGGACCTGTTCGTGAACGACGCGTTCGGCACCGCGCACCGCGCGCACTCCTCCACCGAGGGCGTGACCAAGTTCCTGAAGCCGAGCGTCTCGGGCTTCCTGCTGAAGAAGGAGCTGGACTACTTGAAGGGCGCCGTAGACAGCCCGGTGAAGCCGATGGCGGCCATTGTGGGCGGCGCCAAGGTGAGCACGAAGATCCCGGTGATCGAGTCTATGCTGGATAAGGTGGACAAGGTCATCATTGGCGGAGGCATGGTGTTCACCTTCCTGAAGGCACGTGGTCTCTCGGTCGGGAACTCCCTCGTGGAGGACGACCTCATCCCAGTTGTGAAGAAGCTGGAGGAGCAGGCCAAGGCCAAGGGCGTCGAGATCATCCTCCCGAGCGACATAGCCTGCGGCGACGAGTTCCCCGCGGGGGGCAAAGAGGTGAACTACAAGGTGGTGCCCGCGGATGATATCCCGGACGGCTGGCTCGGCCTGGACAACGGCCCGAAGGCGACCGAGGAGATCAAGGCTGCTCTGGCGGATTGCAAGACGATTATCTGGAACGGCCCGATGGGCGTGTTCGAGAGCCCGCAGTTCAGCAAGGGCACCTACGACGTGGCCGAATGCATCGCCGAGCTGACGGAGAAGAACGGCGCCATCAGCATCATTGGTGGCGGTGACTCCGTGTCCGCGGTGAACAAGTCCGGCCTGGCGCCGAAGATGTCGCACATCTCCACCGGGGGCGGTGCCAGCCTGGAGCTGCTGGAAGGCAAGGTGCTGCCAGGTGTGGCTGCGCTGGACGAGAAGGAGATGGCCGCCGCGGCGTTCTGCGGACAGCGCAAGGTCCCCAAGGCTTCCAGGACCAGCCTGCGGGCCAAGAAGTCCGTGGAGGACCTGGGCGAGGCGGACCTCAAGGGGAAGACGGTGCTGATCCGGTGCGACCTCAACGTGCCTCTGAACGCGGACCTGGAGATCACGGACGACACGCGCATCACGGCCTCGATCCCGACGATCGAGTACCTCTGCAGCAAGGGCGCCAAGGTGCTGGCGTGCTCCCACCTGGGGCGCCCCAAGGACGGGCCCGAGGAGAAGTTCTCGCTGAAGCCAGTGGCGAAGAAGATGGGGGAGCTGATGAAGAAGGACATCAAGTGCGCCCCAGACTGCAAGGCTACGGACGAGGTGAAGGGGATGGTGTCGGCCATGAGCGAGGGCGACGTGCTGATCCTGGAGAACACTCGTTTCTACAAGGGGGAGACCAAGAACGACCCCGAGCTGGCGGAGAGCATGGCCAGCCTGGCGGACCTGTTCGTGAACGACGCGTTCGGCACCGCGCATCGCGCGCACTCCTCCACCGAGGGCGTGACCAAGTTCCTGAAGCCGAGCGTCTCGGGCTTCCTGCTGAAAAAGGAGCTGGACTACCTGAAGGGAGCCGTGGACAGCCCGGTGAAACCGATGGCGGCCATCGTGGGCGGCGCCAAGGTGAGCACGAAGATCCCGGTGATCGAGTCTATGCTGGAGAAGGTGGACAAGGTGATCATCGGTGGAGGCATGGTGTTCACCTTCCTGAAGGCACGTGGTCTCTCGGTCGGGAACTCCCTCGTGGAGGACGACCTCATCCCAGTTGTGAAGAAGCTGGAGGAGCAGGCCAAGGCCAGGGGCGTCGAGATCATCCTCCCGAGCGACATAGCCTGCGGCGACGAGTTCCCCGCGGGGGGCAAAGAGGTGAACTACAAGGTGGTGCCCGCGGATGCGATCCCGGACGGCTGGCTCGGCCTGGACAACGGCCCGAAGGCGACCGAGGAGATCAAGGCTGCTCTGGCGGATTGCAAGACGATCATCTGGAACGGCCCGATGGGCGTGTTCGAGAGCCCGCAGTTCAGCAAGGGCACCTACGACGTGGCCGAGTGCATCGCCGAGCTGACGGAGAAGAACGGCGCCATCAGCATCATTGGTGGCGGTGACTCCGTGTCCGCGGTGAACAAGTCCGGCCTGGCACCGAAGATGTCGCACATCTCCACCGGGGGCGGCGCCAGCTTGGAGCTGCTGGAGGGCAAGGTGCTGCCAGGCGTCGCCGCCCTGGACAACGCATGAGGGCGGGCCCTCCCAGGATCCTCCTCGCCGCATTGCGCCTGGCTGCCAGGGCATTTAATGGTGCAGCTCGTTGGCATACCAGGCCTCCACTCCGATGGCCATTCCTGCATGGCAGGGCATGTTTTTTTCTTCCGGCTTGAGTTTTAATGCCGCTCTTTCGGCTTAGGTTTCACGGGCGCAGGGGCAAGCCAGCTTTTGCGGCCCGGACAGATGTTCTGAAGCCGTGCTGCCAAGGTGTATGTAGCAACTCCGACCGCAGCATTACTGTATTACCCTGGAGCGTGTGCTCATGTTGGTGGCGACCTAGTCGGCTCAACAAAAAACACCTTCGGGGCACCAAGCTCCTCCGGAGGTCCCTCTGGCAGTGTCGACATGCGGCCCCTCCTCCGCCAATGTCGGCACACTCCCCACCTGTTCCGTGGCCCCGCAGGGAGCTCCAGCTGAGGTCCGAGCGGCACAGTCCGCATGCATCCCTCGGGGGTCCCCAAACGGAGTGGTGACCACACCTTGCGGTGAGTCGGTGGGGGTTCGGGGTCACCGCACGGTTTTAGGACTCGGGTCGTTATCCGAGGACGTCTCGGGCGATTGGGGCATCCGAGGTCCCAAAGCCGTGCGTTGACGGACCGTGCTGTGAGGTCTTGAGGGATTTCGAGGTCACCGCACGGTCTGCCACCGCACCGCTTCGGGACTCCCAAATCCCCCCCGCCCTTTTCGGCGCACCCTTCAAACGTTTCTTGGCCCCATACGGAGCTCCTTCGAAGATCCAGGTGACGCAGTCCACAAGCGTCCCGCCCGCCGATTGCGGCACACTCCCCACACGCTTCGTGGTCCCATAGGGAGCTCCACAGAAGGTCCTGCTAGCACAATCGGCACGCGCCCTCCCCGACCATTTCGACCATTTCGGCACACCCCTCACACGTTTCGTAGCCCCGTGTAGGGAGCTCCGCCTAAGGCCCCAGTAGCTGCCTGTTCGGCCCCAAAAGATCCGCGCGTGTCGCTGGAATTCCCTCGCGGCGACCAGCGCGCGTCGCGGGGACTCCTCTGCGCTCCGCCTCCTTGAGGGCGACGGGCTTGCATGCTGCGGGCGCCTGGAAGAAGGGGCTCTGCGAGCGCCCGAGCGCTCGTCGCCCCTGCCCCCGGTGTTCCCCCGTTCGCCGTCACCCTCGTCTTATTCCGCGCCCCAGCCCTTCTGCTGCGCCCCCCCATCCCTCTTCCCAGCTGCCTCGCGACAGTCGCAGCTGCACACGGTTGGGTCCGCCGCACGAGGCGTGATGTCCTAAGAGAGGCGCGCGCTGGTACACGGCAGCGCGCCGTTTGCCGGCGGAGCGGGCGCAGGCTCCGGGCGGCTGGCCCGCCCCTGAAGCAACGCGCGCATCGTCCGCACGCTTGTCAGATGCGGAACGGCGTGATCAGTTGCTGCGCGCCGCGTCTGCAGTAGGAGCTCAACCACAAGAGACCCTCCACGAGAAGCCCAACCCTGAGGGCCCGGGACGTTCATTGATTTCTGGTGTGGGAGCGCCACGCTCTCCATCGCAAAGCCATCGAAGCCCAGGAAACCCAGGGCACCCTGGAGGCAAGCAGGGTGTTTCTTGGCATGGGCCTCCACTGTGCAATTCCTGCTGGTGCGGCGGCCCCGTCCGCCGCCCAGCCCTGGGAGCATGCGAAAACTTTCCTCGTCGAGGATAAGGCCTGGCCGGCGTGTCAGGCGCTCGTTCCCGGGGCGCCGCGGACCTGGCCAGGCCAGCCTGCAGTTCACGGGGCGAGGCCCACGCGGATTTCTCGCAGCCGCGCCGGACCCTCCCTGTGGCGCCTCCGGCGCCGCCCCTGGCGCGCTCGCTCCGAGGAATCCGCGCGGACCTCCGAGCGATTGTGTTTGTGTCATGTTCGTTCCCCAGCATGTCGCCAGACGCGGGGGGCGCGCTGGGGGGCTAGTTACTATATCGACGGAAGTTCTGCCTTTTTGAATTATTGTAATAGAATTTCTCGGAATTGGAACATGACTCGTAGAGCTTCCCTAAGAGCGTTAGCAGCGAAGCTAGAAGAGTAATTCCAGCGCGCTGCCCCAGACCTTGACGTAAAACGGTCCCCCTCCTGCTCTCCCGTCTCTTCCCACAGAGTGGCGAGCATACCGGGGGGGCGGCCTTGCAGTCGGGGAAAGGGTATCCGGCGGGGTCGGCGGAGTCGATGCATGTCTTACAGATGTCTCATCGTCGCGTTTTGATGGGTTCCGTTTGCACGCAAGCGCCCTCTTCCAGCACCCCGCACCCGGTCACCGTTTTCAGGTGATTGTTGCAATTCGTTCTTGTCCAGGGGTTTGCGTTGGCCAGCGTTCCTGGCCAACTTCCTTGGGCCATTCCCCTGGCCTTGATTTGAATGATACCTCTCGTATTTCCATCGTTTACGGCAGTACGGCCAGCAATGCGAAGGGGAAGGGGGAGGGGGAGGCGGGGGCCTGATGGTGGAGGAGGGATGAACGGAGGAAGGGGGAAAGAGGAGGAGGAGGAGGAGAAGGAGAAGGAGGGGGAGGAGGAGGAGGAGGAGGAGGAGGAGGAGGAGGAGGAGGAGGAGAAGGAGGAGGACGACGAGGAGGAGGACGAGGACGAGGAGGAGGAGAAGGACGAGGAGGAGGAGGACGAGGAGGAGGAGGGGGAGGGCGAGGGAGAGCAAGAGCTGGGGAGGGAGAGGAGGAAAACAGAGACATGAAGTGGCCCCGTAGCGTCAATGTGGTCAGAACAATCGCTGGAATCGTGCTCGCTCTTCTGGTCCCAGCGGTGTGACTAGCGGAGACCCCGCAGGGGCCGTGGCCTTCACCGACATCCAGAAGCTCGTGGAGGTCGCCGAGCAGTTGGGCGACAAAGACACCGTCACGAAGTATCGCGATGAGACTGCCAAGCGGACCCCGCAAAACTTGTACACCAGCGAGCAGCACAGGCCCAGAGGAAAGTGGGGGCCATCGAGCGAAAGCTCAACGCCGCCACAAAGCTGGCAGCGAGCTCCGCACCCAGGTCGAGTCCCAAGGGGAACTGGTCCAGCAGCTGGTGGAGGAGCTCAACCTGGCAGAGAGCGGGTACAAGAAGGTGGTGGCAGAGGAGTACAGCACCACTGTCGGATCACATCCTGCCAGTACGTCGCAGACCGCACCCACGTCCAAGCTCAACTTGCGCGCCGTGCTGGACGGGACCGCCGAGGGCTTCACCTTCGGCGATGACGGCATGTTCGATCTTGGCGAAGACTACGAGCTCAGCACTGATGACGCACAGCAGATTGCCAAGCGCAAAGAGGAGCTCTGCAAGAACCTACAAGATACGCCGGCGAAGCTCTTCGCCGAAGCCAAGTCCAAGTGCGACGCCACCCGCGCCGAGGTGAATAACCAGAAGAAGCAGCTCGCCAGTAAGCGGCAACGCGCTGAATCTGCGCCTCCTGATGGGCGTGCTCTAGCTCCTGCAGCAGGCGGTGCCGGAGCTGAAGTTCTGGGGCCTCCTCCAGCAGTTCCCAAGCCCAAGGCAGGAGCCACTCCTGCCTCACCGCCTTCGGAGCCCAGCCAACCTGTCAGCGCCAAGGAAAAGGCCACGCCCGCCCTCTCAGCAGCTGGCGTCAAGGGTGCGGGCAAATGTGCTTGGGCCCAGGCGAAGGCGGCCTCCCCAGCAGTGGGGCAACACGAACCCTCTCCCCACGGGACCTTCGAGCACGACCGCACCGACTCCGAGGAGCGTGCGTCTTGCCGCAGCGCCTGAAGTTCAGTATTTCCACGTATGGGACACTGCCATGCAGAAGCCGATACGGGGGAACGTGTCGCAGCCGTGCATTGACAGTCGGGGCAAGCTCCAGCTCGTACCGCGATGGCGCGCAGCATGGAAGGCAACAACCGCACGATCAAGGGGGTCGAGTGGAACTGCTACCGCCTGTTCGCCTGAGAGCCCGCCCACGCCGTCTACGGCTACCCCACCGTCAACCAGGGAGCCCGCGGCGAGCCAGGTCTTGGGCGGTTCGATTTCAGCTACGCCAACCAGAACCCAGATGGTGTAAAGGACTCAGACGGCAACTCTTTCAGCCGGAACACTGGCTTCGAGAAGCCAGATGCCCAAGAGTTCGATTTCGGGAACCAGCTCGGGAAGCCAGACCTCCAGGAGGACCCAGAGACTAACGTCGGACACCGCCATTCCCCAGAGCGTCAGCGCTTGTCAAGATAATGCCAGATCAGAGATTGTGGAAAGCTTGGAATTCATGGGCGCTGAATGGGACCCGATGGAGTACCTGGACCTAGACCTTGCCGGCGGCGTCACCTCAGATCAGCTCTCGCCCGAACCCGAGTTCGAGTTGAACGAACCAAAGGACCAGCAGCCGCCACAGGGGGCGCACTCCACGCGCGCAGGAGTCTCCTCGGGGCCAAGCCCGAGGCCAGCAGTCTCATGCGACGCCACGCACAATCAGGAAGCTCGGAAAAGCATCACTGGAAGGATGAGGCCCGCCCTGCCAACGTCACCGCAGCCCCAGGGGGGCTCGGCAGAGGAGGGGCGCGGGTCGCCGCAGGAGCACATCTGAGCTCGCGAGCCACCGGGCCCCAGCGCAGCGAGTGGTCACAGCCTGCCCCAGGACAGGGCACGGGGGCCGCAAGAGAGGCGCGCCTGCGCAACACCGCTGTTGTCTTCTTCTCCGCCCACTTCAGTTTCGGGGAAGGCCCCCCGGGGGGCGACACGCAGGCGCTGGAAGAGATCGTTTGCAAAATCCAGTCAGCCAAGGTGCCCTTCATTCCCATGGCTGACTGGGACGTGGAAGTCTCGGAAATCCGCCAATCAGAGGTAGCGGACTACCCGGGCGCGCGGTGGGTTTTCCTAGGGGGGGGCCACCAGGGCGTTCGGGAAGAGGGTGA